CGTTGCAGCCGTCTCGATATCATCGCCCCATCGCTTATCGAGTGTCTGCTGAACTGTCAAGCGGTAGCTGGCAAATTGATCTCTGAGCTTCTCGAGCTCCTCCTCCAGTTCCCTGTTACGGGCCTTGAGATTTCCATCGTTGGATCCAGCTGCGTGGTCGTTGGTAATGTTCTCCAATACTTCGTCCAGAGAAAAGATGAGAGCATCGTTCTCCAGAACAGGCTGAAAGTACTTCTCGTCTTCGAGGTCTTTTGCAGAAATCTCCTTGGGCAATGGTGCGCCATTCTTTACATTATCACGAACAAAGTTGACGAGCTTGACAGCACCGTGAAAGTCAAGCTGAAGCTTTTGGACATAGTCGGCAAAGCTGAAACCATGGTTCTTGATGCTATCCTCGAGCATAGCGGCAACGGTAGGGAAGGTTTGGGCACTGAAGAAGGATATAATGGGGATTGACTCCTCATCCGACTCCAGGTCGAGCCATTCGCCCTCATCAGAGACAGATTCGTGAGTAGACATTTTCCCCTTTTCACTAGAATGCAAGACCAGGCAAGATCGAACCAAGTTGAATCAAGAACTCGAGTGACCAGTATTGAATGTTGGTTTGGTTTGGTTTGCACCGAGTTAGCCAACCTTAGCTTGGAGAATATTTTGTGGGATCACGGTGATTGGAGAAGGCTATGCCCTGTTGGGAATTTTTTTTTTTTTGGGTCATGATAGGTAGAAAAGTTGGCAAAGGCTTTGCAATCGCATGGCGAGGTGACCATCCAGATGCAATCCGCGAGGTGTTTGCTGTTAATATGTATGATATGTCTGTAAGGGGGTATATCGCATATATCTCTGTCTGTCTGTCTGTCTGACTGTTTGACGACTTTGCTGATGTAGTTTTATTTTTATTTTTTGGCTTTCGGCTTCTGTTTCGTCTCTTCCTTTTCGTCGTCGTTATTCTCAGACTCTTGGCCGTCTTCTTCCCCTTCATTGTCGTTGTCATCGTCGTCGTCGTCGTCGTCATCGTCATCGTCTTCCTCACCATCATCGTCTTCGCCATCTGATACAGTTTCTCCAAGCTCAACGAGACGAGCCTGTAGTCAAGTCAGTTAGTATATAGCATGCAAATATGAGCACCGCGTGTCTTGTCTTGCCTTGTATTTGGCCACCTTTTCCTCCAAATCGCCAAATACCATCAGGAGGTCATCAAGTTCGGACTGAGTGGTCTCTCTAGCCTCATTTGACTCCTGCAGCTTCTTCTCAGTCGCCTCTCTAGCCTTCTTGGCCTCTTCTTTTGCTGCCTCCTTCAATTCTGATAGTTGCTTCTCGGCTGCGTCCTTTGCTTTGTTGGCAGCTGACAGTTCCGATTCCATCTGCGAGACATGTGAGTTTTGTTGACTATATTCGATCAAGACAGATTGATAATCCCTTACATTCCTGAGCTTAGCCTCCAAGCCCTTCTTTCCAGCGTCTCCTCCGCTGAGCTGCTTCTTGAAGCTCTGGCACTTCTCTTCTGCTTCCTTGGTCTTCAATTTCTGCTGCTCCAGGTCCACCTGACTCTGCTCTCGATAAGCGTCTATCTCGGCATCTTTTCTATCGCAGAGGCCTTGCAATTCCTCTTTGAACCTGGCCTGTTTCTCATCTGCTTTAGTCTTAGACTGGGTCTTGAAGTCTTCGTATTCCTGACGAAGATGCCCTAGCACCTTCTCATATTTCTCTCTTTGCATATCTATCTCGTTCTTGCGTTGCAGCTGTAGTGCATTGTACTCCTTTTGGGACTATATTTAAGCCAATGTTAGCCGACTACACTCGTACACACCGTAACGGCTGGGATAGCAGGCACGCACCTTCATCAGAACAACTTCGAGACGACTGATGTTCGCTTTCAGATCTGCCACTTCCGCATCCGTCCTTCGTCTAATCTTCTCTGCTTCGGCCTCGGCCACTTTCCGAACTTGTTCGAGCTGCTTCTGGTGATCGTTTTCTTGTGCTGTTTGCTGTGAACGCAGCTGAGCAATTTGCTTTTGATACTCGTTCTCCTTAGTCGAATATTGAGATTGCAATTGAGCAACCTGCTTACGCTGATCATTCTCCTTAGACGCCAATTGGCCCTGAAGCTTCCTGTAGCCGTTTTCAGTAGGGTCAATACAAGTCGATAATGGTGGCACTTACCGCAGCTCTTCGCTATGATGCTTTTGTAACCCTTCATTCACGGTTTTGACCCGTTCCATTTCTAGAGCAGCGGTTTCCTTTGATCTGCGATGATCCGCCTGTTCCTGTCCTAACTGCCCCTGAAGTACAGCTAGCTTTTCCTGGATCTCGTTCACAGTATTCTGCTTCTCCTCGACCTGGCTCCTGAGAGAGTCTACAAGTTCCCTTGAAACACCTTTCTGAACACCGTTGGTGACGATAGATATTTCCATGCCGGGCTCTCTGTCAATAGCACGTGCTATCCGGCTATAGTTGTCCTTCAAGAACTCAACAAATTCCCTGTCGAAGAAGACATCGGGGAGTCGCCCTGGAGACAAAGCGTCCAGCTTTTGAGGCAAGACTTCGAAATCACGAATAGAAGGGTGGCTGCGAAGTTTTGATAGGCGATCTAGGTATACATCTCGATCTATGCGAGCCGTTAAGATAGAGAGTAATGTCGCTCTTGGAATTGGTGAGTCTTTTGTTGAGAATTCGTAAGCAACACCAAGCAACATCGTGCATAGTCCCTGAACGATCTCGCCCCCGCCTATGGTTGGAGGTTGTGAAACAGCTTGAATCAGGCTTTGAACATTGCTTCCCTCGGCGAGAAAGTCGTTCACTGCATCGAGATCCTCAAAAAGCCAGCCCAAGAGTAGCATAAGATAACCGACCAAAACCCGCGTATCGTCGCCTCTACGAAGGCCTGACGTAACGTGAGCTGAAAGAGTTTGGATGGCAGTCACAACCTCTTCCCCGTCTTCCGAATCACCTTCGGTCAAGCCCATGGCTTCTGACTTGGCTTCTGAGTTTTCATGCAAGAGATGGAAAGTGATCACAGCAGCGAACCATTGCCTGTATGGATCTGAGGACTCGACTGGAGGCTGCAGAAGAACTGTCAAAACGTTGGAAGACTCGTTGGCCCCAGATTGATGTCCTTCAATGGCGCGGCCAAGAAAGTGCAGTCTTACAGCTGGGTGATGTGAAAAATAAGCTTGTAAGCACTCAGCCGCCGCAAAACGAACATCGAATTCTTGGAGGTCTTGTAGACATAATGTCAGGTCTAATAAGCCGTCGATAACGAACACCTTTTCGCCTTGGCTGGCCTGTCCATCGGCTGTGCTATTCTTAGCTAGAGGAGCCAAAACCATCATTTGAGCAAATGCCTCCTGAAGAGGTGCATTTTGCCGAATCACATCACCACAAGTGATAAGAGCCTATATGATGTCAACGAGATGGCCTTCCGGTAGCAATCAAATTATCGAACCTCGGCCTTGATTTGTGTTTGCGCTTCATGGCTGAAGGCCAGTTGTAGAATGTGGTAGGCAAGACCATGCTTCCATATAGCTGTTTGATTCAATGAGGTACCAGCGGAGCCCCTGACAACAAATAGACGAATGACGGCGAGGAAAGCATAGACATTTCGGTTTCGTTGCGCTGCTGCCCACGAAGCGATTTCAGACCCATCAGTTTGAGGTTTCAGAACTCGACCTAATAAACCCGCTAAGCGGTTCATACAGCCCGACTCCCGGAACAGGGCCTGGTTTGAGCTGTTTGACCGAAGGAGGTTGGCCAAAAGGATCAGGCAGTCCTCAACAGTGCGACCTCCTTCTACGAGAGCTCCATCGGCTTCGATAATGGCAAACAATCTCTCAAAAGCATTCTCAAAAGCCACCAGCTTCTGTATTTCGATCGATGTCGGTGTGAGATAGGTCAGGAGAACAATAGCTTCGTTGCGTATAGCGTCGCGTTGGTCATCGAGGACGGAAACCAGCCGCGGTATACCAAGGGGAGCAGTAAAGATACATTCCTCGGTGCGTTCTGTACGTGCCGAAAGTATGGCGGCTAGTAATTGCAAAGAATATAGACGGGAATAGAAATCGTTTGTTTCGAGGAAATCGAGCAGTAACGTAATGTTCTCTTGGCGTTGAGTGAACTCGTCGGCCAACCACAAGGCGATCTCCTCCGAAGCTTCAGGACTATCTTCATTAGGGTTGAAGAGCATTAACAACGTCTCGAGTACCACTTTGACGGTGTCGACATCTTCGCCGTCTTTGCTTAGACTTCCTATTAGACTTCGTAAGGCACCCGAAGCTACAGAAGCTGGATAATCTTTGGCGAAGCTGCGAAGACCCAGAATTGCAGCTCTTCGGTCTTCTAGCAAAGTTGCTGAACTGAGGCGACCGCTTAGAACGTCGATGGTCTCACCAACCGATTGTTTCGCCGGGGCGCTGGCAATAGAGAACATGATTGTGGCGCCTCAATGCCATATGGCTCAAAGGAATTCGAGAGGTTGCATGGAGCCCTTCCGGCGACTGTTAATAACGTCTTTTCTGTTGGTGAAGATCACTAGGAAGCTATCCTAATTAGTCGACGCCAGGTGTTGGCTTCTTAATTCTGGCCAGCTTGTCAGGAGAAGATGGGAGCAGGCAAGCTAACTCAATTGCTGCATAATTCCCGATCAAGATGCAATTCAATAAGCGGATTTTGAGGCTCCACTCTGAAGCCACAGATATCCACTCGCTTGCATAACGGTGTGGCTCAGGGTCCGAGCTAGCAGTCAAAGAATCATGTCGCGATTCGAAAAGCGACAGCCTCTATCCTACACATAATTTTCGTCTTCCTTCAAACGACCACTGGGGAACCTATTCGCCTGGCCTCAACGCGCTATCATCTCGGCTTATTGATGCGACACGTCCTGTGAGAGGCATTTATTCACTGAATCCCAGGTTTTGTAACCGCATTGTCTTTGTTCACCCGGAGTCTGTTCGCGCAACGAGCTCACTACAAACTTCTGAAAAGTCGACTTCCGCCAGATCGCTACTATGGGTATTCCCGCGGCTTTCCGATGGCTTTCTTCCAGATATCCTAAGATTATCTCGCCGGTAATTGAGGATCAGCCCCTTACCATGGAAGATGGCTCCACGATTCCTGTTGACACGACTCGCCCAAACCCGAACGGCGAAGAGTTCGATAACCTGTATCTCGACATGAACGGCATCGTTCATCCTTGTTCTCATCCTGAAGATCGACCAGCTCCCAAAGATGAGGAGGAAATGATGATGGAAGTGTTCAGATATACCGATCGCGTGGTGAATATGGTTCGGCCCCGGAAGATACTCATGATTGCAGTTGGTATGTAGGGTCATTTTTTTCCTAGCTCAGTTTCGGCCCTTTGGCCGGAGCTATACATGTATTAATTTGTTAAAAGCTAACAATCCCTCACAGATGGTGTTGCACCTCGAGCCAAGATGAACCAGCAACGGTCAAGACGATTCCGTTCTGCACAAGAAGCCCAAGAGAAGGAGAAGGACAAGCAAGAACTTATCAAACTTCTGAAACAACAGAATGGTGGTAATTTGACTGCCGAAAGTGAAGAGACTGTCCTAAAAAAGGCATTCGACTCAAACTCGATCACACCTGGAACGCCTTTCATGGACATTCTCGCCCTCAGCCTGAGGTATTGGTGTCAGTACAAACTCAACACGGATCCCGGTTGGGCGAAACTCAAAGTCATCATTTCTGATGCTACTGTTCCCGGAGAAGGAGAGCACAAGATCATGAATTTTGTTCGGTCCCAGCGGGCATCACCAGACCATGACCCCAACACTCGGCATGTGATATATGGTCTTGATGCCGATCTTATCATGCTTGGGCTTGCAACCCATGAACCTCATTTTCGTGTCCTCCGCGAAGACGTCTTCTTTCAGGAACAGAAGGCTCGTTTGTGTAAGCTCTGTGGCCAGAAAGGACATGACGCTCAGAATTGCCGCGGCGAAGAAAAGAAGAAAGATGGCGAACACGATGAGAAGGACAAAGGTGTCGCCCTCAAACCTTTCATCTGGCTTCATGTCGCTGTATTGCGAGAATACCTCGAAGTTGAGCTCAGCGTCCCTAATTTGCCCTTCCGTTTCGACGTGGAACGTGCTGTTGACGATTGGATCTTCATGTGCTGTTTCGTTGGTAACGATTTCTTACCGCATCTTCCAGCCCTGGAAATTCGAGAGCATGGAATTGATACCCTAACGAAAATCTGGAAAGACAACCTGCCTATTATGGGTGGCTACGTAACCAAAGACGGGCATATCGATCTTGAAAGAGCGCAGGTGATTCTGAGCGGGTTGGCCAAACAAGAAGACGGTATCTTCAAGCGGCGAAAAGAACAGGAAGACCGGCGCGAGGCCAACTTCAAGCGGAGAAAGCTGCAGAATGAGAACAACGGCCGAGGCGGCCGTCAAGGTGGACCTGCTCATCCCAAGAAGATCAATGGCCTCGAAAACCCTGCCAACGTGCTACTCCAACCCATTACCTCCTTTTCTGGACCGAACGAGCAGAGATTGACGCACGACATGATTGTGAACCGCAGTGGCGCGCCAGGTGCGAACGTGGCCAACAAGAGCGCTGCGAGTGTCTTCAAAGCCCAGCTCCAGTCGCAGAAGTCACTATCAACTACGAAACCAGCGGAAGTGGATCAAGATTCTGCTTCCGCTCTTGGAAAACGAAAGGCATCAACACTCGAAGAAGGGGATGGCTCGACTCCTGATACATCCAATGCTCCAACTCCAGCAGCCCCAACAGAGGAGGGCCCCGTCGATGATGTGCGTCTCTGGGAGGATGGCTATGCTGATCGATACTACGAGAAGAAATTCCATAAAGACCCCCAAGACATTGAGTTTCGTCACGAGGTCGCACGGGCATATGTTGAGGGCCTTGCTTGGGTCTTGCTGTACTATTTCCAGGGGTGCCCCTCTTGGGAGTGGTATTACCCATATCATTATGCCCCATTTGCAGCTGACTTTCAAGACATCGACAAGATGAAGATTTCCTTCGAGAAGGGCAGAATATCTAAGCCATTCGAGCAGTTGATGAGTGTCTTGCCAGCTGCATCACGCCATGCCCTTCCTGAGGTTTTCCACGACCTCATGCTAAACCCTGAAAGCAACATCATTGACTTCTATCCGGAGGACTTCGAAATTGATCTCAATGGCAAGAAGATGGCTTGGCAGGGTGTTGCTTTACTTCCTTTCATTGAGATGCCTCGCCTACTAGCCGCCGTTCAAGCAAAATACCCGCAACTCAGTGCAGCGGATTCAGCACGTAACGAAATGGGCAGAGATGTTTTGATCTTCTCAGAAGCCCACGAGAGCCTGTACGATGACGTTCTAACCAAATTCTACTCCAAGAAACAAGGGGACTCCAAATTCAAGCTGAACCCGAAAAAGAGTGACGGCTTGTCGGGCAAGGTCGAGAAGAAGGAGGGATATGTCCCGCACGAAGAATTGAAGTACCCTCTCGAGAGGAATGGTATGCCCAATCTCGACTATGATCGGTCGGTCAGGTATGACACCGTGCCCGTCACCCACAGTTTCTGTTTGGCTAACATCTCTAGCGTCTACTACGATATGCCTTCCGTTTCACAAACACACAAGTCGATGCTGCTTCGTGGGGTTCAGCTTCCGAAGCCTGCTCTCACACAAAGTGACATTCAAGATATTCGGAACAAAGCCAACCGTGGTGGCAGGAATGGCGGCTTCGGGCGAGGGGGCCACAATCGAGGTGGCTACAATGGCCCTGGTATGTCGCGCGGGCCCCAGCAAGACAGGCATCAAGGAGGATCTGGTCGGCCTAATGGCCATTACCCTCCGCCGGCCGCTTCTCATCATGTGCCTCCACCACCAGGAGCCCCTGGATTTGGGATCGGTGTACCACCACCGCCCCCACCAGCTCATTATTACAACAACCAGCAATACGACAACCGCCACGGCGGTGCTCCAGGCTATAACAACCAATACAGAGGCCCACCGCAACCACCTCGTGGTGCTTCTGGTTATCAGGGCTACGGAGGACAACCCTATGACAGAGGACGAGGCTCAGGAGGATACGGCTCAGGAGGCCATGGTTCTCGAGGTAACTACCGAGATGGGCGGTCATACAGGTAGTTTGTGGAACTAGAGGCGTGGGGATAACGGAGAAATGAATGAGTTCTCTATCAAAACCTTGGAGTTTGATCATCCGTGCCAAGGTACATTATATACGGTATTGTGCATGAGCAACTCAAGATGGGGTAAATTGAATCATACCAGAGCCTTGAAGTTTGGGGGTTTGGCCTCTAATTATTGATTATGAACACCCAAATGGATTGTATTTGAGCTCTTGAAGTGCTGAAGCTGGCGTTGGTATTTGAGGTTTGACTTGCATTGAGATATGTATGTGCAGTTGTGAGTTTGTGAATTGGATGCTTAGTCTACTTAACTAGGACAGAGTAAGGAGTTGGGGGATAGAAAGGAAATGGTAATGTACTTCTGGAGACTGAATTGATGTTGAAAATGCCCAGGTGCCTACGCTTCAGCCTCATGATAAAAGAATCATTTGATGCGGTCCGTACTGATGTATCGACTGCAGTTCAATAGGTACCTTTCGCGTCGTGGATGTCTGAAAACGGCGAGCTCCCCTATGCGTGGTACCCCTGTGGAGACAGTTCGCGGGGTTTGGCACGAACGCAGTGACCCTTGGGCAATGCCTGCTCGGTCAGGTCAGAGGGACGAGCGACTCCCAACTTGATCTCTCCCAAATCTGCGTATCCACGCTCAATGCTGTCGTGATCATGAATTGCGACGCAAGCCTAGTCGGCTGCCTTGTCGACAGGCTCGCTACCAGAGTAAGCATCTGCATATCCCATGCGCGAGGCAGCTTGCGATCGATCCCTTAGTGGCTTAGGTTGACTGACGTTGGGTACCTCTCAATAGCTTCCCCATCGAGCTGGCACCACTGGCCAGAGCCTACAGCAAGACGATGTCCTCCACGTTACAAGAGCCACCTTGGTCGAGCTAGGAAACACATCCATATCCACAGTCATCGCGTCGCTTCTGGTTCTACTCGAGGACCTTGCTCGCCCTTACGCAGCTGTCGCCGACCMCCCCAGCCATATCTTGGCCTCCGAACTCTACATCGTTGCCGTTATTGCAGACTGCTGTTCTTCCCATTGGGCCTCTCTCACACAGGACGCAGATGTAGAACCGACCCTGGCTCCTCCTTCGCTAGACGAAGTACTGGTGAGCCGCCTATTCGACGCGTTCAAGCACCTCCTTGAACCAATCCCCGAGAACTGTATACTCCCAGCCCAGACTCTGCTTGACCAAGTCTCGACGCGCAATGTCTCCGTCACTCGCCCCGAAAGCTCTTCTATCTCCTCCGACGCCGATAGCTCCCCCCCAAGCGATGAGAGGTTTGCAGACACGTTGGTGGAGATGGACATCCACATCAAGACTGTGACCGAGTATGTCACTACTTCCAGTTGGACGGCTGCCTTCGACTATTTAAGGAATGTCATATACACTATTCGAACTAGTATTGTTACGCAACCTGGCGTCTCTGCGCCTGGATCTACTCAGGATGCTGAGAGAGCAGCCCTCGTCGTTCTGCGATTGCTCTCTTTCTTCTGGGTTGATGGCCCAAAGCTGGGTCAAGTTATACAAGAGATCTGCTCAAGCTTCCTACACTTCCGAAAGCCTTACCAAAACACCATTGCTGTAGTCTCTCCATTGCTGATCATGAGGTGGCTGGATCGGTTCCCCCGCGAGTTCGTGCAGCTTCACCAGCTTCACAAGCGACTTGATGGTGGAGCTGATACGCTTTTTGACATGGCACAGGCTGCGACAGATAACGGACGCCGTAAGGGTCTGTTCTACCCTCTCCAAACCACTCTACTTTTCCTTTTGCCGGATGTTTTTGAGGTAGCGAGCAATATGCGCGAAGCAAAGAGCAGCAGCATGGTGAAGAAAGTTACCTTTCTAGATGGGCTGAGAAAAGCTTCGCGCAATCGAAACGAGCAAGCAGCTTACTGTCTAGTTTCTCTGCTCCGTGCTGCCAGACATTTTGATGTTGAAAGCGACTCAGCGCTTGTCAGTTATGCCTTGGATGTTCAGGATGAGGTCCGCGATGCTGTTTTTCGCCGTCTTACCGCATCAGAATACGGACTCTTTGATCAGGACATGATGACCGCAGCCTTTGTGAGCTTGACCCACCTCAATCTCGATACGAGTGTCAGCGGCTTTGTTGAAAGCTGTATCGCTTCAAATGCCCCAAGTAGTTTCAAGTTAGCTACAGTCCAGGGCTGTACGTATTTCGCTCAACAGCCATACGCTCTGAGGTACCACGAACTATTTGATGCAGCAATACCCTTCATGCGGACGCAGTTAGAGGTGAGAATTAGTGATTTCACGTTTCTGCCGGTTTATAACTGACTTTCCTAGACCGAGAATGCCAAGGCTGTTAATACGACGGGTCGACAAGGGAGTGAAAGGACAGAACTTGTTTGCAGCATTCTCCAATTCTTGGATGCATCCCCAGCTCGCTTGTTAGATGATCTGTCAAAAGATGGTTCAAATAATAGCTTCTTCAAGTCCTTCCTTCTTTGCGTATTGTCCGAGAACCCGGCCGTGCGTAAACTTGCCACTGGCGTTGCAAGCCGACTCTTCCAAGGACATCTTGAGGCATACCGCCAATTCGATACTGGGCACCGCTTCGGCACAAAAGAACTTCGTGATGATATCTGGAGTCGAAGGTGAGCGCATTTCTCTACGCCCAGCCAATCTCAAACCTGCTAACGAAACCCCCAAGCTCCAAGGTTCTGCTTGCTTTATGTGAGTCTGTCACCTCTAAGAAAGATGACCAAAGCTTGCGCGATCTACAAGACTATCTAGAAGCACGATTTCTACTTCTTGAGAATATCCCGGTATGCATTTCTGTACCTCCAGTAATGCTATTCGTGATAGTTATCGGCTGCTAACCTCTTGCAGGAACTGGCCAAAGTACCAGAAGACGCACCGGATGTCATCAATGCATCTTCCAAGCTTGAGACGACACTTCTTATATCCCTTTGTTCTGCCAGCATTACAACTTGCCAACTAGTGACTTCCTGCACAGGATTGTTCATTCAAGAGTGCTCGATCGTCGACAAACACGTTGAGTCAGCAAAGACTTCGGCATCAGTGCTTCGCAATGCCGAAGTCTACCGCGAGATATCCTCTCCAGCCTTCCGGTTCACTGGACTAGTTGCATTCCAGAAGCGAGTAAGGGGTTTTCTGCGCCGCATGCAGTTCCCAACAACAGGCATCGTAAACGCCTGGGAAACCGCATTCGATCGTTGGCTCCATCTTGCAAAGGATGTCTCAACATCAACTGTCGAGATCGTGGATGGAAGAGCGCTGGCCGAGTGGCGAAACTATTCCGGATTCTTGGCATCATTGGGCGGCATTTGCACCGCTGACCAGGCAATTATTCTCGAAGAGCCTGCTCTTGGAGGTCTAAGATGGATCGATCGTGTCTCTTCTGAGCACTTCGAGGAACCACTCCTGACAAGATATCTGAGACTCAGTATTCAGCTTTTAGCTTGTGCCAATGTGAGAGTACGCGAAGCAATGCGAGATGTTCTTGCCAGTGAAGTCTCGCCTACGCTTTACTACCCGCTATTCCGAGCCTTGGAATCTGAATTAGAAGTATTATTCACTGGAGCTCTGGCCCCCGTTGAGAAGGATCAGGACAGTGAGGTGGTATTTGCTGAGCAAGCCGCATCTCTACTTCGGGCTCTTGTGGAAAGACTAGAAAGCCCCTCTGACCTCGGTGCGGCCTCGTCAGTCCATCTGGGTGCACTGACGCTTAACTTTGCGAAGTTCCTGGATGGTGTCACTGATACACCGAATACGCTGAGGGTCAAGATCCGGGTATGCCACCTATGCGAAGTGGTTACGAAGCGAAAAGAGCACCTGAACTTGCGGGACGATGTTCGCATTCGGAATCAACTACTTGAATATATCTTCGGCTGGATTGCTCGCCCTCGCTCGCCTCAGCATGGCCCTGGCTCCCGACAGGATGACACGGCTCGTGTGCAGAAAGATCTCGACAAGGCTTGTTTGAAATCACTGGCCGATTTGACTTTTCGTTTGCCGTTGCAACCCTCCGAAAGCCATACTGATGCTGGGATGAGCGAGATGAAGTCTCAAATGTTTCATACATATTTCAACCGCTTCCTGTCCTTGCTTAACCATGAGCCATCGGAGCTGACTAGGACTGATACGAATTTGAGTGTCACGCTTCGTGAAGAGTCTGCATCAAACTCAGATTTGGCCATCACCATCCTGTCCAATCTACTTAGTGCTAATATCGACGTTGGCCTCAAACACTCTCTTAATATTGGGTATCACGACAATGTTGAGATCCGCACTGCCTTCGTCAAGGTCCTCTACAACATTCTGATCCAAGGCACTGAGTTTAGCAACCTGACTGACTCGGCTGTGAGTGAGAAGTACGAGGAACTACTTGAGTTACTGACCAATGATCTCTCCCTGGCCATCTCGATGGCCGTTGCTTGCCCCAGCACTGAGGTAGATGAGCTTACTATTTGTCTTCTCACTGTTTTCGAACAACGAGGAATGATCTTTGAGCTTTTGGAGGCACTCATCAAACAAGAAATTGAAGACACCGAGAACGAGGCTGAGATATTACGACGTGGATGTGTCGCAACCAAGATGCTATCAGTCTATGCCAAGTGGAAGGGTGCTTCCTACATTCGAACGACGCTACAAAAGGTCTTGGAACGGCTTATGCTGACATCTAAGGATCTCGATCTAGAGCTTGACCCTGCAAGAGTCAGCTCGACAGAGGAGCTACAGAAGAATGCTCTACAGCTGCGTATTGTGGCCAAGGTTTTCATTGACGACATATGCGCGTCTTCTTCCAACATTCCACCCGCCTTTCGAAAGATTTGCTACACCATATCAAATGCAGTCATGCCACGGTTTCCCGATGCCAAGTACACAGCTGTGGGAGCCTTCATCTTCCTACGATTCTTTTGCCCAGCTATCGTTGCTCCTGAGGTCGAGGGCCTCGTGTCGATAGCACCATCTAAAGAAATGCGGCGCGGTTTACTTCTTATTGCCAA